TTAAAAAAAAAGATCCACAAAACTAAGAGTTATTTTTTAAAAGGATAAACAAAATAGACTAACTTTAGGTAGACCAACCAAGAAAAAAAGTGAGGACTCACACAAAATTATAAATGAAAGAGAAAACATTACAATGGATTGCCACAGGAATACATGGGATTATAAAAGACTACTATGAAAAATCATATCCTGACAAATTGGAAAACCTAGAAGAAACGGACAAATTCCTAGAGACATACAAGTTGCTAATACTGAATTATGAAGATATAGAGTATCTGAATAGACCAAAGAGCAAGGGGATTGAATCTATAATCAAAAACTTCCCAACAAGGAAAAGCCCAAGACCAGACAGCTTCACAGGTGAAGTCTACCAAACATTTAAAGAAGAATTCATGTTAATCCTTCTTGAAATATTCCAAAAAGTTGGAGGGGGAACACTCCCAAACTCATTTTGTGATGCCGGCATTGCCCTGATACTAAAGCCAGATAAGGATGCTACAAGAAAACTGTAAGCCAACATCCCTGATGAACATGGATGCAAAAATCTTCAACAAAATGCTAGCAAATGGAATTCAACAGCACATTTAAAGGATCATGTACATGATTAAGTGGGATTTATTTCTGGGATGAAAGGATGTTTCAACATATGCAAATCAATAGACGTGGTACATCACCTTAATAGAATGAAAGAAATAAATTATATGATCCTCTTAAAAGATGCAAAAGAAAGCATTTGACAAAAGTCAACATTCTTTCATTTAAAAAAATCTCAATAAACTGGGTATGAAAAGAACATACCTCAATATAATAAAGGCCACAAATGACAAGCCCACAGCTAGTATCATACTCAACAATGAAAGATTGAAAGCTTTTCCTCTAAGATCAGAACATGATAAAGGCGCTCACTATCACCATACCTATTCAATATAGTACTGGAAGCACCAGCTAGGACATAGAAAGGAAATAAAAGACATCCAAATCAGAAAGGAGTAAGTAAAATTACCTGTTTGCTAATAACATAATCTTGCATTAAGAAATCTTAAAGAGGGATCCCTGGGTGGCGCAGCAGTTTGGCGCCTGCCTTTGGCCCGGGGCGCGATCCTGGAGACCCGGGATCAAGTCCCACGTCGGGCTCCCGGTGCATGGAGCCTGCTTCTCCCTCTGCCTGTGTCTCTGCCTCTCTCTCTCTCTCTCTGTGACTATCATGAATAAATAAATAAAATCTTTAAAAATAAAAAAAAAGAAATCTTAAAGACTCCATACCCAAACAGTTAGAATTAATATATGAATTTAGCAGTTTCAGGATATGAAATCAACATACAAAAATCAGTTGCATTTCTATTCTAACAATGGACTATCCAGAAAGAATAAAACAGTCCCATTTCCCGTAGCATCAAAAAGAATAAAATACTTAGGAATAAATTTAACCAAAGTGAAAGATCTATTGAACCAAGAACTCTAGAAGCCTTCTGAAATAAATTGAAGAAGACAGAAATAAATGGAAAGATATTCCATAGTCATAGATCAGAATACTGTTAAAATGTCCATGCCGCCTAAACCCAGCTATAAATTCAACGAAATTCCTATCATCAAAATTTCAATGGTATTATTCACAGGAATGCAAACAACAATCTTAAATTTCTGTGGTACCACAAAAGACTCCAAATAGCTAAAGAAATCTTGAGAAAGAACACAGGGACATCACACTTCCTGATTTCAAACTATATTATGAAGCTGTAGTAGTCAAGACAGTATGATATTGGTATAAAAACAGACACGTGGATCATTGGAACAGAACTGAGAGTCCAGTAATAAACCTACACATATAAGGTCAATTGACATTTGGCAAGGAAGCCAAGAATTCTCAACGGGGAAAGCATAGTCTCTTCAGTAAACAGTTTTAGGAAAACTAGATAGCTACATTCCAAAAAATGAAAATGGGCCTCTATCTTACACTACTTACAAAAACTTACAAAAATTAACTCAATTTTTATTGCTTAAAAAAGGAAACAGGGATCCCTGGGTGGCGCAGCAGTTTAGCGCCTGCCTTTGGCCCAGGGTGTGACCCTGGAGACCCGGGATCAAATCCCATGTCGGGCTCCCAGTGCATGGAGCCTGCTTCTCCCTCTGCCTGTGTCTCTGCCTCTCTCTCTCTCTCTCTCTCTCTCTCTCTCTGTGGGACTATCATAAATAAAAAAAATAAATAAAAAATAAAAAATATTAAAAAAGGAAACAAAATCAACAAGTGGGCCTACAACAAGCTAAAAAGTTTCCACACAGGAAAACAAAAGAAGAAGAAGAAAAGAAAGAAGAAGAAGAAGAAGAAGAAGAAGAAGAAGAAGAAGAAGAAGAAGAAGAAGAAGAAAAATGCAAAGTCAATCTACAGGATAGGGGCAAATATTTGCAATTCTTATATCCAATAAAGCGTTATAATCCAAATTACATAAGGAACTCCTACACCTCAATAGCAAAACCAAAAAACAATCTGTTTTTTTACTTAAAAAAACAAGCAAAGAAAAATAAGATGGGCAAAGAATCTAAACATTTTTCCAAAGCAGACACGCAAGCGGCCAACAAGTACATGAAAGGTACTCCGCATCATCAATCATCATGGAAATGCAAGTCAGAACTGCAGTGAGATATCGCCTCACGTCTGTCAGAAAGGCTGTCATCAAAAACACAAGAGACATGCTGGTGACAATGTGGGGAAAAGCCAACCCCTGTGCACTACTGGAGGGAACGTCCACGGGCACAGGACTTGGAAACAGTATGAAGGTTGCTTAAAAGATCTACAGTACGATCCAGAGATCGCACGCCTAGTATCTCCCCAAAAGAGATGAAGTCCTGATCTCAAAGAGACATCTGAACTCCCATATTTGTTTGAGCATCATTCACAATTACCAAGACATGGAAATAACTTAAGTATCTACCAACGAATGAATGAATGAAGAAAATGTGGGTATATGTAAGTACTCAGCCAAATAAGGAAGGAAATTCTAGCATTTGTGGCAACATGGCTAGAACTTGAGGGCAGTGTGATTTTTTTTTTTTTAAATCAAGTCAGACGGGAAAACACAAATGCCATGTAAACTCATTTACATCTAGAATCTAAAAAAGCCAAACTCATAGAAGCAAAATGTAGGAAGGTGGTTGGGAGGGACCGGCGGCGGGACGAGGAGACGTTGGCCAGTAGGTCCAAACCTTCAGTTCGAAGAGGAATAAGTTCCAGGGACGTGGTAACTCTCCTTCGTCATACTGTACCGTATAATTGAAAGTCGCTGTGGAAGCAGATGTTCGTTGTTCTTACCATCACAGCAGCACCTGCTCGGTAATCACGCGAGGCGAAGGACATGTGAACCAACCCTGCCGCGGTAAACATTCCACAATACACGCGTGTGCCAAACCATCATGCTATACGCCGTAAACTTACACAGTCTCATAAGTCCATGATGTGTCCGTAAAGTCGGTAGAATAAAGAATGAACTGACGAATTTCCTCAAAATTATGATGACTGCAGGTTTCTAGACACGAGCCTGGTTTCCTCAGCTCCACGGAGGCGTCTCCCGAGCAAGTAAGTCATAAACATGTCAGTCACTTGGAGCTCACTGGCTACACCGAACTCGAGCCACAGTAGCCAGTGGATAAAAATATCCCAAAAATGAACTGGGTGAGAGGAGGAAAATACGACCATAGCCTGGCGAGGTAAACACCAAACCCCGATGTGAGCATCTCCGGAAGGTGGGATCGTAGGATTCTTTAGCCGGACTTCTCTAAATTTTTCAAATGTCCTACAATAGAGCCAACATTGCTTGTGTAATTAGGAAGAGGGTCATGTGCTTCTATTTATCGTAAGAATGGTGCCATGTCAGATGATGAAGCAAATATAAAATTACCATTAAGATCAAGAAGTCATCCCATCGATTAGTAATAAAGGAAACTGGACTGAGATCAAGTCTCTTGAAAACCGGGAGTGACCCGAGCTCTCCAGGTAATTGTAGAGACAACTGTTCTAGAAGATTCTGACAATGATTGAATATATTTACTTCCTCCTACCCCCAACTACAGACAGCAGTTGAACTTTAATAGATGGTTTTTTTTTTTAAGATTTTTTATCTATTTATTCATGAGAGACACAGACAGAGAAGCAGAGACACAGGCAGAGGGAGAAACAGGCTCCATGCGGGGAGCACAAGGCAGGACTCAATCCCAGGACCCAGGGTCACACCCTGAGCCGAAGGCAGACGCTCAACCCCTGAGCCCCCCAGGTGTCCCTTTAATAGATGTCATAAGGCTTCTTTTGTCGTGTTGTTTATTTAAACTTGGCATCTTAGAAACATCTTCATCTGAGGGGTGCCTGGGCGGCTCAGTGGTCCCCACCCCTTGTCGGGCTCCCTGCTCAGCCCGGAGTCTGCTTAGGATCCTCCCTCCCTCTCCTTCTGTCCCACCCCCAACACTGACATCTTTAAAATATAAAAATGAATAAGAATTAAAAATAGACTCGTTAAAGGCCTCTGGTCCTAATATATAAAATGCACAGAGCTGACTCCTATGCATAAAATAGGTCTCTTCCCTCAGAAGAGGGAGTGGTTTAAATTAAAAAAAAAAAAACAATCTTAATCAGCAGAATACTTTCCAAGAGAAACGAAAGTCAGCCTAGAGGAAACCGGTTGGACGCTTACTTACAGGCCTCGCCGCCGCCGACGGCTGCTGAGACTGAAAAGAATAGAGCTTTCTGTTTGGTTTCCAGCCCGCTTTGCAAGGACTCCTTGAAATGGGATTTTCGGTCCGCTCTCCGCCCCTGCATTCAGGCCTCACCGCATTTCTTCCCTCTGCGCTTCCAACAGTCGAGGAGTCTCTCACATTTGGTTACTGGCACCTGTTCCTGTGATTCTTTGGCGGGATCCCACTTCGCATGACACAGATTATTCCACATTCCCGAGCGTGGAGCGGAGAAGCGGGAGGCTGCCCGCGAGCAGCCCTGGGCCCTTCCATGATGCAGGGTGAAGGGCACGCAGTCTCGGGCTGCAAGGCTGTCTTGCCAGGATGCAGATCCCAAGTGAGAAGGTGAAGCCGGGCTCCAAGACGGGCATGGGGAGGGACCACACACTGCCCTGTCACCCACCTCTGAGTTCAGGGATGTCCTGAGGCACTGCAGGCTGCGTGGCACCCCTCGGGCCTGGCATCCAAGCAGGCACGGGTCCAGGAAGATGTGGCCCGGGTGCGGGGACAGGTGTGGCCACCAGGACGCTTGACCCTCGGGGCACAGGCTGCTCCGTGGCCATGGCCAGGCTGGCCGCCCCCGTGGGTCCGGCTGCCCCAGAGCAGCAGCGGACTGGAGCGGGACACATCCCGCGGTGGCCACTGACATCTGGTGCCCCAGGAGCTGCCACAACAAAGCAGGTGCTCTGGGGCGGTCGGAGGAGGCGGCGAGGGGTACTTGGGGAAATGTGCAGGGGAAGGCTTATCCCATGACCTGGGTCTCCAGCGGGGCCCCCCCCATCAGCCTCTGCCCCCCAGGACGTGCCCAGGGCTCGGGGTCAGGAGAGGCCCTGGGGCAGACGAGCGCTTTCCCTAGGTGGGGCCGGTGGCCAGACAGGTTTCCCCGGAGGCTCGGTTGCCCTGGAACACCCCCCGACCCCGGGTTCTGAAGGCTCCTTCACATGGTCGCTTCAGGAGGATATTTTGGTTTTTCTGTTTTCCTTATTTTCCGTTTCAGACCCTTGCCTGCTCGGCAGATAGAGCCACCCCTCGTCTGGACAACGTGGGGAGCCCTCCAGGCCCGGGCAGCGCAGTGGCACCAGAGCAGGGCTCCCGACGGCACTGTCAAGCCCGCAGCAAAACCGGGGGTAAGCGCGAGAACCCGCTCTGGGAAGCAGGCTGTGGTCCCCCCCGAGGGCACCGTGTTCGCGGTGAGTTGAGAGCAGAGCGGTGGGGAAGCCGAGGATGCCGGGTCCTGGGACCGGGCTGCGGCTCGGGCAGGTGGGCTGAGGGCTCAGTGTGGCCCCCGGTAGAGGTGGCCAGTCCCCCACGGGACACGCCAAAGGGACGCGTGGTCCCAGGCTTCACTGCCAATGCTCACGTGGAGTCTCCCGGGGGAGGCCTCTCCTCCCAAGCCGCCTCCGCAGGCGGGAGGCTGAGGGTAGCTTCTGTGTCTACACAGAAACCAAACATCTCTTCCCTATGAGGCCACACAGATAATCGGGGGCAAAACCAAACCGCATTCGGGGGCATTGGTCCTGCCCTGTATCTTCTCGACCAAATCGTGCAGTGACTCCAAGGCTTTGAACGCATGGTTTCCGTCTAAGCGGCAAGAGCACTTGGTGACATCCGGTGCCTTCCAGACGCCATCCGCACAAAAGGCGAAGCCACTGCCAAGTCCAGACATGGACACTTCACAGGAGCTGATCCCTGGGCTGCCGGCTTCGGAAGGGGTCGGCGAGCCCAGGAAGACCGCACAGAGCACGTCCCCACGGACACGCCTGGCGGCTCCCGAAACCCAGTGGTTACACTAGTGCATATGCACAGGGGCTGAGCGTGGGCCGGAGACAGATGCATGGCTCTCGGGACAACCTTGCTCCTCTGCTAAGGAACACCTACACCTCTGGTTCTCATTTACAAAAAAATAATAAATAAATAATTTTTAAAAGCTCAAAAATAAACAGAAAATATGCTCTATAATGTGCTTTATAAGTTGGTACAAAATTCTCAGTGCCAAACGCTCAGGGAAAATATGCCCAGGACCTTGAGGAAAGACCTGGCCAAGAGCCTGCCCTCTTGCAAAGGCCTCTTCCATCACGCCTTTGCCATGCAAACCCAGAGCGATTCCACAGCACCAGGACCAGCGTCTTTTCCTGGACGACGCCCTGCCCAGCACCATCTGGGTCTAGCCAGCACATGCACCGCTGCGCGTGCCCTCCAGTTCGACCCAAGTCTCCCCGCTAGCCGGGCCTGGGCAGTCAGCGGCGTGTCAAGAGCATCACAACATGGTCTTAAGACAAGGAGAGTGTTTTTCTGGAAGGCCCCCGGTAGTTCACACACCGGACGAGCCACCCTGACAGCACCAAAGCCTGAGTCCGCGCCGAGGGCCTACTGAGTGATGCGGCCCTCGGAGCACCCGAGGACTTCGCCGCAGACTCCCTCCACGGGTGCAGTGTTCCAGCTTCCATCTCAGGCACGTTGTTGAGACAGCAAGTCTGCCCGACACCCAACAGACAATGAATGTTGGTTTGAAGGCCAAGAGGAGGCACAGGAGGGGGGAACCTCTGGGATGAAGCTGCTGGCAGGGGTTTGTTCGCATAAGGACGTGTGTAGCTGAGGAAAAACTCAACCTCGAGCTGGGGTCATGACTGGTCTTCTTTAAAAGCAGGAAAAGTCATCACTCATGCATCAGTTCATTGACACGATACAGGGGACAGTCTCAAGTTCCACAGGAGATACTATACCCTCACTCCACTAACCTCCAGGAGCTTCTAAGTTTTTTTAAAGATTTTATTATTTAAAATATTTATTTAAAATATTTAAATTTATTTAAAATGAATATATTTATTCATTAAATATTAAAAATAATATTTTTATTTTTATTTTATTTTATTAGAAATTAAATATAAAAAATATACATTAAATATATTTAATATTTATTTTAAAGATTTTATTATTTATTTATTCATTTATTTATGAGACACAGAGAGAGAGAGAGAGAGGCAGAGACACAGGCAGAGGGAGAAGCAGGCTCCATGCAGGGAGCCCGACGTGGGACTCGATCCCAGGTCTCCAGGATCACGCCCTGGGCTAAAGGCGGCGCTAAACCGCTGAGCCACCCAGGGATGCCCCTTCCAGGAGCTTCTAATCACAATCCTTGTGAAGGTGCTTTGCATTTTACAAAATACCGTTGCATATATCAATCAGGAAATACGTAATAGGAGCATCATAAACTGAGAATAAAGAGGCCGCCCTGGGCTGATAGTGCAAGGGGTGGACAGGACCAACAGTAAATGCAGCGACATCCCAGGAGGGGACTGCTCGCGGGGCCCAAGGAAAGTCTGATGGGGCGGAGGGGGGTTTGATAGATGGAGAAGTGGGAGAACCAGAGAACGTAAGCATCTTTGTCTCTTCCAGATAACAAAGTTTATTTTGAATTTTCTATGTTCCAGGCAACGTGCCAGGAGCTGGATTTACAGCAACAAAAAGAAGACCGGTCTCTGCACTTGCAGTAGGCGAGATGGACAACGTGTATGTAAGAAAGTACATAAATAAGACAATTAGATGATGCGGCAAGTGCTGGGGAGGAAACCCACCAACGACGTGACCGTATTTTTTATTTTTTTAGCCTCTCCACCGTGTGACACTCTGCACGTAGCAAGTGCTCACTTAATTTAATTAAACACCGGTTACACAAAACTACAAGAAACTTCAGAATAAAAGATCCAGTGACAAGTCCCCCAACTCTTCCGCAAGCGGGATCGACCAAAATGTAAATTGACTTTAGGCAGCTGGTGACCCTCGAAATAGCGATGGCAGGTTTCCTAACTCAGGGTTCCCCCAACAGCCTGAGCCAAACACGCAACCAAATTAGCACAAAATAACGAGGGCAGAAGAGTCAAATGACGTATAAGAAAAATGAATAAAACATTTCTATGTTATCATTGAGGCAAAAATTACGATTTAAATGGAACATTCCTAATATAGTCTCTAGTCATGACTTTGAAAAGGCATAAGAGGATGTCGGAGAGACAAAGATTGGCTTCCTGAGGTCAGGTTGCAGCTTCCTGAACAATGAGATAATCCAAATTAAATAGTAGTCATATAATTAGAAATATAGTGGCAAAAAACCAATGTGACCGATTCCTGGTCGCGTATTGGTTAAATGAGACCATTTGAGTTAGGATAGGTCACAGTTTCAGCATCAGGCGCGGTGTGCCAGGGTCAGGTTTTTACATCCTGTTCCCCCAGCATTAACCCTTTGAAGCAAAGAGCTAGGGGCCGGGGACTCCTGCGAAGACCAGAGGCCAGAGAAGGCAGGATGCGTCCACAGGGTAACCGCGTGAACGCTAACGTGCTTTTTCCCTTCTGCCTTCCGTGGGGATGACTGTCTCTCCCGGCGGAGTGAGCCTGCCGTCCGTGGCGGTGGCAGGAAGATCACGATGAAAGGGAAGGAAAGAGAGAAGACGAGAGAATATTCAGCTCCCGGGGTCCAAAATAGGATTTTTCATCAAGGCAACGGGCTCGAGAGCAGGATATGTCAAGAAAGAGCATTTTCTATAATAATTTTGTAGGAATCTCAAAAAGCAAGCCTACAGAACTCACATCATACGGTGTCTTCTGTATTCAGAAAATATGATCCTCTGATCTACGGACAACGAGGCCCTGAGCTCAGCAGGAGAAAGAGGAGAAAAACTCCTGAAACCTTTTCCTTCTGTTCTGCGAGATTTTAGGAGGGCTTTCTTCTCCCTTGCAGGCCACATGGAGGTGACACAGCAGAGAACAAGAAGGTCCTAAGGCGAGGCTGTCCAACAGAGCTTCCTGTGACGACCACGCGTCTCATACTTGTGTCGTCCGATCTGGTCATCACCAGACACATCTGGCTCCCAAGCGCTTGAGACGTAGCTACCATGACTCAGTGTTAGTCCAGGGCACCGAGGAGGCCACCATACTGGACGGCACAACCCTGGGGATGACGCAGGCCCACAGCGGAAGAGGTCTAGACCGGATCCACGGCTGGGAAGGGAGCCATCCAGGAGAACCTCACCATGCCGCTCCGACTGTGATGGGAATAAGAGACGAACATTTACTGTCCTGAGATCCGGGAGCTGCGACAACAGGGATAGCCTTGACAGCCCTGAGGAATACTGATAACGTTCTCATGCTCAACCTTTCTATAGATCGGAAAACTGGGGGACGGAGGAATTAATTAATTAATTAGTTAATTAACGCGCCCAAGATCACGCGGCTACAAAACGGTAAAACTAAGATGGAGCCGGGGGGTCCAGCTAGGCCGCGCTCACGCACGCCCGACAGGTCCACGGGATAGATGCGAGCGAGAGGAAGGGGAGACTCGGTGTGGTCCAGACATCATTGCTTTGCATCAAAGGATTATATTTGTAAATTTGCTGGATTACATAATCTCTTTGCCACGTGAATCACAAGTCATCAGATCCTTAGACAGCCTTACACCAACTACAAAGAGTGGGCACGCACGCTTCTCACGCACGCGAAACCTGCTGTCTGGTTCTTTGGTAATGACAAGACGCTCTGCCACAGGGACACAATGGAAATGAGTCAGTGGTGCCCAGACCGAAGGAACGGAGCGTTCTGTAAATATGAAACAGATGGGATTTCCGGAGCTGTTCTCGGGCGTGTTAGCAGTTTTCAAGTGAGCTAGGTTTTAAAAATCCGTTGATTTTTTATCACCAGGATCGGAGCTGACTTGAACTAATAGCAACTGTCCAGGCCTCTGCCACTGTCGCTCATTCGTGCTGTGGTTGGGACCACGGAGGAGCTCCGCTCCCTTCACGCCGCTGGCCTCCGGGGATGGGGGCCCTCACTGAGAAACAGGCTTGAGGACGACACCGGCCTGACCGCCTCTCTCCCTGGAGCCTCCTGAGGACTCGCGGATTCCATTTAGGACCCGATAACGGGCCGTCGTGTGGACAGCGTTCGTAAACATCTTTACAAGCCCGCTCGCGATAAAGATGAAGATACTGTTCATTGAGCAGCAGCTTAACAGGTGATTTATCTACGTCAGGTTACGTAAATCTAACAAAAACGGGAAAATAGGATCCACGTTCAGAATTAACAGCAAGAGCTTACATAGTCTTTGCAATGAGCCGGGAGCCTTCTTCCCAAGGAAATTACTGCAGTCGTTCGGTCATCATAAAAAATAAGCACAATAGTCGTCACCCCCGTTCCGCAGGTTAGCCATGGGGGCAAAGGAAGAGCAACGGTCTGCCTCAGGTCACGGGACTAAGCAGCTGCAGAGCGCAGGCTTCAGACCCAGGCCCTGCGGCTGCGGAGGGTGTTGCTGTGCTGCCTCTCAGTTGACCTCACAAGCACTTGCCTAAGGTCACAAAGCTAACGCAGGCCAGAGCCAAGTTCAAAATCCAGTTTTATTTGATTCCAAACGCCAGCCTCCTCCCTCCCGCCAGTGTCCCCCAGACATCCCTGTCCTCAGAGCCATGCTCACAGCGGAAGCCCTGGGGGACCTGGCAGCCACAGGGACCGTGGCCAAGGGCACAGCTCATTCCCCGGGAGGCCTCAGGGTGCTCCTGCCTTCAGCCGCGGGGCTCTGGTCAGCAGCCAGCGGCCCCGCCCCGCGGCAGCCAGGTGCAGCGTCCATGCAGGCACCTGCCGGGACAGCCCTCGGGGAGCCGGCCGCCAGCAGGTCCCGGGATCTCAGCATCTCCCACCTGCGTGGGGAAGCATGTGGGGCCTGGATGTGATGTGGCGCCTGCTGGAGCCTGCTTCCCGCATTTCTCAGTTCCCTGGTTAGCGTCACCCCATTAGCAGACAGGACCCGCAGCCGATGGGCCGCAGCCTGTTGGTGTCAGTTCCCCAGTTAGCATCACCCCGATAGCAGAATGGGACCTGCAACCGATGGGCCGCAGCCTATTGGTGTCGGTTCCCCAGTTGGCATCACCCTATTAGCAGACAGGACCCGCAGCCGAGGCTGCAGCCTGCAGTGTGGGTTCCCCAGTTAGCATCACCCCATTAGCGGATGGGGACCTGCAGCCCAGGCCACAGCCTGCTGGTATCAGTTCCCCAGTTAGCATCACCTCAATAGCAGATGGGACCCACAACCGAAGCTGCAGCTTGTGGTGTGGGTTCCCCAGTTAGCATCACCCATAGCGGATGGGGACTCACAGCTGATGGGCCGCAGCCTGCTAGTGTCGGTTCCCCAGTTAGCATCCCCCCGATAGCAGACGGGGACCCACAGCTGAGGCCGCAACCTGCAGTGTTGTTTCCCCAGTTGGCATCACCCTGTTAGCAATGGGGACCCGCAGCTGAGGATGACCGCAGGACAGCCAGAACCTGCCAGGCCAGGGGGAGGCGACTTGCAGCTCACAACCTGCGACCCAGGCACCTGGACAGAGGACGCCAAGGGGAGGGGCCCGCCGCGGACACCGTGTGGCACCCGAGGGAGACTCCAGATACTAAAGCACCATGTTCATATCGAATCGGCAGCAGTGTGGTGTGAGCTCGCCCCTGCACCAGCCTACAGGCCAACCCCTCCGCCTCTGGCCTTCCTCCCTCTCAGGGCTGCTCTGTGCTTCTGTGCATTTGCCTGGCTGTAACGGAGCCCTGTGACGTCTCGAGGTGTGTGTCGCCCGGCAGGGCCCCCAGGGAACGCACAGGGGGGTGAGGCCCAGTGAGAGCATCAGGTCCCGGGACAAGCCCCACCAACTAGAAGCGCCTGGAAAGGGGATGCTGAGAAACGGGATTAGGACACTGAGGCCTGCAGACCTTATGGTCACTGAGCAGCTCGCTGGCCCCGAGCAAGTCAGGAAGGTCTTCCCCGAGCGTATCCCCTCCTCTCTGAAGACTGGGTTGGATCCTTTAGCCTCTGGGCTCTCTGCCCACTCGAATAGTCTATTTCTAAAAGGCACGTTCCATGAAATACGAGGTACTGACCACACTTGAGCAACTTCAAGCGCCCTGTGAACGTTCGTAAGGGGTGAGCCAAGTTCAAGGAAGAGCGTGGCAGGAGCTCACCCGAGCGCAGGTACCCAGCGCGGGATGCGAGGCGGCCCAGGTGCCCCCGTCCCCCAAGCCACAGCACCCCGGCCCGGCCCCTCCGCATTCCCACCCACTCCCAGGACAGCATCTGAACTGCATTACAAGGGGCACCGGGAATTTGCGACCCGACGACCCAGTCATGTGGCCAACCGCTTCCAGAAACAGAAACCTCAAGCACCGCAGGACTTGGGCCAGCGGGAAAGCAGCCGATCGCCGTGCCCACGGGAGGCACCTGCTCCTGCCTCGCTCCCCCGCCAGCCACGAGCACTCCAGGCACTGCTCTGGGAGCCCGCCCGGGGTTGACACAAACCTGATCGAAGAAGACTCCAACACCCCAAGAAATCGCCTAATAAAAAAAAGCCTGGGCCCCTGAAAGCACAGACGGGACGGGTCAGGAAAGGATTCGGCAAGGATTCAGGGCACACCCTGATTCCGTAGGTGGAAAGGTCCTCCAACACCCAGAAATGCACGTGTCACTAACACGACTGCTATGTCTACTATCAGGTATGCCCAATCTGGAATCTTCCCTGGTCCACAGTTGGGGGGCATGGCCGGTGGTAGCTCTGCCACGGACAGAGGAACCGGAATTCCTGAATCATAACAACCGATTTCCCTCCTTATAAAACACTTGCTTGTAGACAGACTCTTCTGAGCCTCACCACAAACAACCCCGGTGCCGTAGGTATGATAATTCCCCTTTGGAGGCGAAAGCACAGGCCGATATCACCCAGCGAGGCATTGGCAGGGTCAGGATGTGAACAGGAGCCTGTGCTCCCACGGCCTGGATTCTTTCTGCCCCCCGCAGCTGCTCCCATATGAAGTGTGGGGCCAGGTAACAGCACAGAGCCCAAGAGTCTGTAAAGGATGAACCAAGGTCAGGATGCGTCTAGAACACACCCTGTGGCCAAACCAGTTTGCCATCAGCCCCCTCTGACGAGGAAGAGCCGGTTGTTGAGCGTCCTGGACATCAACCCTGTCATCACTGGCCATCACGGCGGGCGCCCATGGTGAGGACGGCCAACGAATGCCCACCCATGGGGTTTTATCTCATCCACCCCACGGCAAACATTGGAAATTCCTGCTACAAAATTGCCCTCTACCTGTTGAAATGTTGAGCTCCTATTCGTTACTGACATGCAGAGCACTGAAGGAGGGGTCTGACGGGAAGGATAAAGGAAACAAGGTTCCCGGAGGCCAGGGATGGGAGGTGAGAGCTAACCAAGCACGGAGGAGAGACAGCAGAGCCCGGAGGGGGAGGGCGGGCGCCCAGGTAGGATGCTAATACCCACTGAGGACCTCGGTGTCAGGCTCGCTGTTTGACGCTCACTAGTATCTCATTTTACCCTCACGACAGTCCTATGAGATTGGTGTCCGTCCCATATCACGGATGAGTGAGCCGGAGTCTCAAAGTCCAGTCTCCCCTCTCACACACTTTTGTCTCAAGCCAATCCTTCCATTTTCAGATCCTGAGTTATCCTCTAAAGTGGTGACTAATCCCGCACAGCACCCCCGTGTACTGTGCTGGGTGAAGTTCGAGGGTCTTGCTTTATAGGTTGAAAAGGAGACGACGAGACCATAAGATACGGTCGAGTCTGAGTAAGGGGGGCTCGGCCAGCAGCCCGAAGACCGCACCTCCTCTCAGCAATATTGTAAGTTTTCCCGAAGCTGCGCCGGCGACACTGCGGACGGCGTCTATGTCAACGTTCAACCGTATTGAAACTTCACGATGGGGGAGGGAGAGACACGACCCCACTGCAGGCCGAGCACGAAGGTGCTCTCACAGTGAGAGAGAGAAGAAGGGATAGAAAAACAGGACAAAGAAAAGCAGGACGAGCTGGCAAAGGAGAAGTGACCGTGTTGTTGACCTTTTGCTTGTTGACCAACCAAAAGGTCAACAACACGCACGTGTGGGCAGGGAGACGCGGCGTAAAGTTTTTGCTGTTGCCTCCATTCCTTCATAGTTATGTAGTGAAAAGATGGACGGTGTGTGCAATTACAATGAGGTCGGGGGACAAACAGGCCCGGTGCAGCTCGAGTCTCGCTCAAGGGAGACGCGGATGAAGAGGTGCAGCATCTTAACAACACAGAGTCCTGGGGTTGGGGTGGGAGGCGAGGGGGGGGAAGGAGGGGAGGGAAATGGGGGAAAAATACCTTAAAACTTTTCAAAGCATCTACTTTAGGGTATCCTTATTTTTAAACATGATCTTAATAAGCTTAGAGACAGAAGTGGCTTCATGTGAGAATTGTATAGATTTTCTGAATGCATCTCACTATGTAATAACCGATTGAGAGGTTTTTATTAATTACCTATCATTTTCTTAGCAGTCTTCTAGGCTCTGATCTAACCATTCCTGAAACGTCTGCCCCAGAACTGTTTAATGGATATGATGAGTAAGAGGGTACTTGCGCTCAACTCTTAGGAAGCACCACTGCCCACCCGCCCCACACCCCCCAACACAAATGGCAGGAACGACCTGTTTTTACTCCTTGAACTACAGACAAAAGTAATCCACCAGATGTAACGTGCAACACAAAAGCCAAACTAAAATTAAAAAAAAAAATAAGTAAAACCAAACAAAAACACCATAATGAAGAGCTATAATGTTTGCTCAGTTTCTTTACTTCCTACTGGTTTGCGCCAACAGAGAGAAACGGATGACTGAATCCAGAGTATTTTATTAAATTAAAATTCCTTGGAACCAAAAAATCATTCTCTTGATTATGGTGTACATTACCATAAAGATAAAGTCTAAGAGCCAGTTTCTAGTCCACAGTTGATTTAGAATCCAGAGGATTCTAAGAAAATAAAAGTTGTCATTGAATGCTTTTCATTTCCCCATGGTCACATATTTCTAATGAGTTCAATTTGGGGCTGTATCTACTTTTTTTTCAGCATTGTACACCTGGGAGTTTTGCCACAAAATTATTTACAGTGGGGAGCCTCAAAATTACTTAGCTGTTCAAATCTTGAGTGGCTGTTTAAATGCACTCTGGATAAGAATGTCTTTCAGCCTCCGATACAATGCCTTGGGCTTAGTAGGTATTTGATAAACGTGTTAAATCAAATGAAATTGTTGATTTCAGTCAGACCTACCTCAGTTGTTTAGTGGGCTGTGCCGAGATCTCGGGCATCGAAAGAAATTAGAAATATATTTCCTAAATACATAGTAAACTATTGACAGTATTTACTATGACAGGAGCTTAACTTAATAGAGGGGAAATTATCAGCAGACGCCGCATAAGGAAAAGTGGAAAAAGGGAAAGTCTGGAAAGGTCAGGGGTATCACTAGGGCTCGGGAACTGGAACCAGAACCTCAGGCAATGCCGATCCTCTCTTCACCCTCCGTCTCCGCTTCCCTCTACGTGGACCTCATTCTCTCTGGCTGCACACAGCCTTCCTCCGCGGGGAAAGAAACAGGGATGCTGTGAATCAGAGACTCCTCCTCCTGTGGCTTCTGTCTCCAGAAAGGATGAACTCCTCCCAGTTTTAGCAGGAAAAAACCCAAGGAAGTTATCTGATTGGCCCAACTAGCTTCAAGTGCCCATCCGTCCGCCACCCACCAGTGTCCCGAGGAGCAGGTGTTCCTCGTGCGTCTGCGTGACGAGAGCACGGAAAGGGACGGTAACCAAAGGAATGGAAGTGCTTCTGCCAGAGAAGGGCAGGTGGTGGAGCACAGATGAAGCAGCAGGTGCTCACAACAGATAAAAACGGAAACATTGATGATTCCCACGAACAGGCCATTTTTACTGATAGGCATCTTTATTATTACTAGAATAATAAAACGGTGATATGGGTTTAAGCCTGCCATGAGTTATCCATGGAACAAGCACGTTTATAGCTCTTTAAAAAAAAAGTATTAAGATATAATGGAAATGTAATAAATTACACATATTTAAAATGTATAATGTGAAACATATTGGCATATATACATACAACCTTGAAATGGTCCCAATCAAGAAAACGAACCCAGCCATCATCTCCAAAAGTTTCTGCTTGCCCCTTGCCGGCCCCTGCCCTACCTTCCTCCAAATCCCCCTGGCATCTCAGTTCCATCAATGATCTCTTTCTGTCACTGTAGTTAGCAGTTTCTAGAGGCAAGTGGAGGCATCATGCAGTACGTATTCTTTCCTGTATGCTTTATTCACTCAAGATAATTATTTTGAGATGCATCCATCCTGCAGTATCAATAGTTCACTCCCATGCATTGCTCGGTAGGGATCCATTGTGTAGTGCGACAGACTGAAGCGTGTCCGCCTCCCACCTTCCCCACCAAATCCACACGGTGAAGCCCTAGCCTCCGACACTTCAGAATCTGACTGTATTTGCAGATATAGGGCTTTACCAAGGCAAAGAAGTTAAAATGGTTCCTAACCCCAAATTACCGAGGTCCTTATGAGAAGAGGACATTTGTATACTGAGGATGCCAGGGTTGTGCACACACAGGGGAGACGCCACATGAGGACAAGATAAGATGCAGCCGCATAGAAGCCGAGAAGAGAAACCAAACCTGTCAAAACCTGGATCTTAGATTTCTAAGCTTCCACAACTGTGAAAAAAATAAATTCCTCTTGTTTATGCCACCCAGCCGGGGGGATTCATTACGGCAGCCCTAGCAAATTAACACATATAGATTTACCACAGTTTGTTTATCCGCTACTCTGTTGACGGGCATTTGGGTTCTTCTCAGTTTGGGGTTATTACAAATAAAGCTGCCACGTAAATTTGTGTATAAATCTTTATATACGTTATTATTTCTGTTGGGTAAATACCAGGTTTAGGCCTGGGTCATCTGGTGAGCGTTATAATAAACCAGCCAACAGTTTCCATAAATGGTTGTACTATTTTACATTCAATATTTCATACTATTTTACACGTAACAGTACAGGAGAGTCCTAGTTGCTCCATCTCTTTGCCAAATTTTAGTATAGCCAATTTTTTTAAATCTAGACATCTTCATAGCTATATAGCGGTGCCTCGTTGTGGTTTTAATTTGCATTTTCCTGGTGACTAGTGACTCAGAACCATCCCTGCATCATCTTTGATGCAGTGCGTATTAAAGTTCTCACTTGTTATTGGCATGGTAATTGTTTATTAGATGCCTGACATTGTAATTTTTACACCTTTTTAAGGACTGATTATTTTCGTATTCCTACAAATATTTTTGAGTTTTGTCCTGGGGTGAAGCTAAATTACACGGAGAAAGTTCAATCCTTTTGGATCTTGCTTTAAAATCTGCAAGGCAAAAAAAAAAAAAAAAAAAAAAAGAAAAAAAAGAAAGAAAAGAAAAAAATAATAAAAATCTACAAGGCAGGCCCGGAGCAGTGCTCCCTCAGGGCCTGTTTCGCCCCACTGTCAAGGCAAATCTCTTCTGGACGCCCCGTGTCCTATGAAGTGTCTCTATACTGTTTAGAGGAAATAGAAACTCTCCCTAGTCCTGCCTGCGTTGGTTCCAGGGACGGTTTCCTCTAATTCTTTGAAATGGATCTTTGCTCAGAAGAAGGTCATTTCTTCCCAGGCACACGTGAGCCAGGAGACCGGGCTATTCTCCAGAGATCTATCCACTCTGGTATCTTCTCACGAAGGCTGGCTGCCTGTTTCAGTCCAGAAAATAAACCCAATCCCCGTTATTCCATTTTTTTCTGAAAGTGGAAGTCTACAGCTTTTTTATTATTTACTTATGTATCTATATATGAAAAGTTATTTGCAATATAATTAGAAGAGTTTTATATCTGCCTGGAATCCAAGGTCTCTGTCATCTGAAATTTCTGTATTGGTTAAAACAGAGTTTGGCAAACATTTTGTAAAGAGCCAGAAAATAAATATTTTAGACTTTGTGGGTCACATATGTTCTCTGTTGTATATTCTTTTTATTTTTTTTGAACTCTTCCAAAATATAAAAAAAAGGACTTTAAAACTCTTCTCATGGGTTGTGCAAAATAAGCCATGAGCTGGATTTGACTCATAGGCCATAGGTTGTTGACCTGTGAATTAAGATAATGTAGCCTCTGCAAAGACAAACCTAAAATCTTACTGTATTACTGCAATGGACATTTTATTTTTCACACATGCCCGAAGTAGGTGTTCTTGATGGCGAGACATCTGCTTTTCTTCTCCGAGTCATGATTCAGGGACACACGGATGCCTTCTACCTCACAGTTCCTTCACTTCCTTCACAAGGCTTCCAAGACCACCATCACAGCAGAAAGAATATGGAGGGCGGCACGTGGGAGGCTCTTGTGAGTCCTGGTGGGTACACGTTACTTCTAACCACCTTTCCTTATTCAGAATTCATTCACATCAGCACATCCAACTGCAAGGGAGGTTGGGGAACCCTAGGTTTGCTGTGTGCCCAAAAGGAAGAGGAAATGGACTTGAGTAACAGCTAATCTTCATTATCACGCCCAGTGGATCTCGGCAGTCATGCCCCAATTTTCCAAAGTATACACGTCCTTTGCCAGGACATTATTCAACCTGCTGGCACCGTGCATAATGTGCCAGATGAGGAGTTTCAAGAGTTCCTGTGATAATTACAGCCTGTCATGCTTTCATCTTTCTCTAAGTTCCCAGCTGCATTCCTTCCAGAGTGGTCACGCCACACCCAGCCTTCGAGGCCCCACCCTGCCTTTCTTACTTCCCTATTACTCCACGGAAGAAGCCATGGCCAATGTGACTCTAGTCAAGTTGGTCCTTTAAGTTAATGGCAGGATTCCTAAAAGAATTTCAAATCTCCTTACCACGGGGGACTCTTCCATCCTATCGTGCTGCCTCTCTTTTGTCTCACTAATAATCTTTTTTAGTGCTAGTGTCCAGAATGGAGCTGAGCGCTTAAAAAAGATGTTCTGTGTAAATCTGGACCCTAACAGTGAATGGTCTATTAAGTTCCTACCCATTAGAGATATGCCAGTCTTCATTTTGAGAATCCGGCACCATTCCCTTAGTTTAAATTCCCTAAAAGTGTCCCCACCTCCACCAGGGACCTTCCTCTAATGCAACTTGTTATCAGCTGTGAACCGTTCAGCTGCATAACCGTGTTAGCGCACATTATTAAAACAGTGAGTATGTCAATTTAACCGGAGTACC